TTTATTATGTTGGTTTAAAGACCATGAACAACAAAGCATTATTTTTTTGTTTTCTTTGAAACGTGTACAGAACAGTTCTTAAGATTAATTAAAAATAAGTCAACATTGATTTCGTGTAAATTGCTTTGTCTTATTACTTTTTATTGTGTTTGTTTTCTGTGTAATTATCCTCTATTTTTGGATGGTCGGGTGAGGGAAATTCTTCTCTGTAATGAGATGTGTATTCAAAGACCTCTTAATCTATCTCTTTCTCCCTATTGGTTGCTCCAAAAACTAATTTTTATCCACAGAGACATGTGCTAAGAAGCAGAAAGCATTTGCTTTTCTCAAACTACTCTCAAGCACCTCACATCAGTGCAATGACTATTATTAAACGGCACCTGTCCTTCACCACTGACTCCAGACCCCTCTCTAATATGATCAAAACATTTAATTAAAAAAAATGATTCTTTAAGACTGTGTGAAAAAGCGTTCATTTTTCAGAGAGACATCATACAGCTGACATTATGCTGTATTGTGTGAGGAAGTGTGTTGTTCCTCTTCAGTGTAGATGCACCAGGTGAGCTCTCCAAAAGGCCTCCTCAGCCCCAAACACCTGCTCTTCAAGTCCTGCAGCTGCACACGCTGCTACACGTGTATATGGGCTGGTTAGACTTTTAACATATCAGCTCATTCTTTTTCTTTTCCCCTCTGCTCTCTCTCGCTCACTCTCTCTCCAGGGCATAGACTAATTAATGGATACCATTCGCAGTTGATTAGCTACAGTTCCTTCGGTAATTACATTCGCATACTAACCACTCAGACAAAAAGATGAGGGGGAGAGAGAGAACAAAGCAAGGGAAAAAATAAATTAATGCTCTTCTCATTTTGCTCTGATCTTAATTTGTTCCTGCAATTGTTTGCCCTCCACAATGAGATAAGAAAAGCCCCCTTTTCCCTCTTATTCCAACTCTTCTGGTTGTGTAACATCTGAAGGAATCACTTTGTTTTAAACAGACAAAAGCTTGCTGTTGGATGTGCTGTTGAATCAGGGCCTTGAGGCTGTTATGAAGACTTGCTCTGGTTGATGTTTGTGTGCCTATGTGTGTGTGTATGCATGATTTGTCTGGTTATAGAGGGCCCTCTGTGCTGGCCCTCCAGCTGCTAACCCATAATTCCTCATTTTGCTCTTCCATTGTTCCTACCTGTCAGTGTGTTTGTGTCTCAGAAGAAAAGATAGGATGCCTGCCATTTCAACCATTTGCCATCGCGTTTGATTTAGAGGGGTACAGACCGAATAAAGGATCAGAATAAAGAAAAAGAGCTCCATTTAGAAAGGAACGACATGGATATGTACTGTACCATAACAAATGCCACCATCCTATCATATTTTCACATGTAAAAAATGACCTGAATATATTGCACGTAGCTTCTGTTTACCATGAACGATTTATCATTTTCCAGGGATCAGACCTTGTGCGTACTGTATGTGTGGGTGGGTTGTTTTGCAGTGCTATGCAAGCTGTTCTGTGTTCACCTACTGTAATAAACCGTGATCTTTCATTAGACGATGTGGACATTTCAGAATAGTAAGATGTTTGTGACTCTCCCTCACTTTTTTAATGCAAAGTTTGTCTCTGCGAGAGAGACGGCAAGCCACACCTAGCTGCCTCACTGATGCATTACATTACAAGGCGAATTGGGTTTCTTCATGTGCCATCGAAGTCAACCTTGCCATGAAAAATATTTAGTTTTTTTACCAAAATAGCAAAACCCTTTCTAAGTTTTTTTTTTTTGTGTGTGTGTGTGTGTGTGTGTGTGTGTGTGTGTGTGTGTGTGTGTGTGTGTAGGCTTGTATTTTAAAAGTATTTTAAAATGTCTCTGTCTGTGTTTTCAAACAATTATATTTGATTCACCAAAGTCACACAAGTGGCAATTTCATATCTTTCACATCCATAATGAAGAGGTGTCAAATCTATAATTACGCTTTTTCCTCATAAATGCACAAATTCTGAATGAAATAAATGAAGCCTTATCCTTTTGATTAGCGTTCTTTTTTTTGGGTTGTGCAGTTTATTCCACAGAATTTCTACAAAGTATGTTGCATTCTATAAACTCAGACTTTTTTGGTCACATCCTTGACGCATGTCTATTTTCCTCATTTAAAATGTAAAAAATTGAAGAATATTGATATTTTTCTGCTCACATAACTCTGCGGTTAGTAGTTTTAGAAAACATAAGTGAAGTTTAATTTAACTACTAATTAAACTAATTTCGAGAGGTGCATTTGCTCATGATTGACCCAGCTGGTCCACATTAGCTAATTATGATCCTCCAATCAAAGGATCCCAAATCACTATATATATCCTCATTTCCTTTCTACAACTATCTTCGTCTGGAAGAAACCCCCCTCCTCCCCTTCTTCCTTCTTTATCCAGAATGGGCGGCACGGTGGCCCAGTGACTAGCACTGTTGCCTTACAGCAAGAATACCAATGGTGTTGGGTCCTCGCTGAGCCATCTGGTATTTCTGTGTGGAGTTTGCATGTTCTCCTCGTGTCCGCGTGGGTTTCCCCCGGGTTCTCCGGTTTCCTCCCACCATCCAAGTGTGCTCTATATTATAGATAAAATAAGCCTAAACCTTTTTTATAATGTCTTACTCTCAGGAAGTTCACCTTGGCCTCAGCAGCGGGGGAGTTTGAGATAGACCTGAGCTCAATCTCCACTCGCCCTGCAAAGGTGGGAGCCCTGGGCTCGAGGATCCCTTGAGCTCAGGGCTCTCTCCCGGGACAGCATGCCAAACAAGCTATGTATAAATCATGAGCTAAGTGTAAACTCTTGAAACAGATGTTTCAATATAATGTTAACATACTTTCTGTGTGAATTTATTTTATTTTATTTTTTGAGTTTTTACTTGAAACGACACTACCATCACGCTGGAATTGCGCCACTAATACCTATGTATTTGAGTGATGAGCTAATAAATGAACTGTTTACTGCTTTACCTTAATTTATGCATTGTATTTTCTGTGGCTTTTAGATTCTAAAGAAACAAATAAAAGTAATTTATGTATATCCTTATTTGAAATCATGTGTTTAGGTTTAGATTTCTTTGTATTTTTTTTTAAGTGCAATTATATTTAAAATATGTATATAAACACTAATTTAAAGACCAGTTTATCACCGAATTAACGCCATATTAAATCTGATTTTCATATTTATTGCATGAATGTGTGTATATATATATATATATATATATATATATATATATATATATATATATATATATATATATAAACAATTAATTAATTATGCTAAATTGCAAAAAAAAACAGCACCATGCACTAATGATTTTGTTGAAATATGTACACTTTAAATATACACTGAAATATATATAATTCCTGAAAAAACAACAAAACAAATGCTTTTCTTAAGTAAAGTCATAGGTAGGGATGTAACGATTTACCTGACTAATCTTCACAGTATTCACAATACTAATCTTAAAATTTACAAAATAATTTTTTTAACAAAATAAAATAATTTCTGCAATAATTAAATTGAAATAAAAAATATCTAAATAAAAAGGTGAATAATACAAACTAAAGACTCTTCAACATATTAACAACTAAAACTTTGATTTAATAGCATTTTTTTTTTTTGCGTATAGATGTTTTTCACTGTGCTACATCATATTCGATGTTCTGTTAGTGTAAGTAAACATCTTTTTGCAGTATTTGCACACAGTTTGTGTTTTGTCTGGCACAGCTCACCGCTGTCATTATAGTCTGCTGCTCCATCTCCTGCTCGCCGCTGATGTGCAGGTAAAGAGAGTTTGCGCCTGTAAACACAGCACCCTCTCTGTTCAAAACTTTTATCGCGATTCGTTCAACATTTCTACCGGGTTGAATCATCACATATTTGAATCGATTTTCAACCAGCTCACAGTGAATTGTTACATCCCTAGTCCCAAGCTGATCTTTTCTTTAAAGACTCACAAGGGCATACTAGACCAGTGGTGTAAAGTAACAAATTACAAATACTCAAATGACTGTATATGAGTGGTTTTTCTCAGGAATTATAATTTCTTAAGTAGTTTTAAATATCTGTACTTTTTCTTTCCCTTGAGTACACTTTTAGTGCAGTATCAGTACTTTTACTGCAGAACTTTTTTCAATCTGTAGTCACTCATTTATTTTTTGTAGTCTAAAGGTATTTCAAAATATTCAACCAAAAATCAACCTAAAATCAACCAATTATCAACGTCTAATAATGTTACAGCTTAAGGTTGGATGGACATTACCACTATGATGTCTATAAGATGTTGGATTTTGGTTGCCATACCAGACGAATAAATGTCAGTATTTGACGTCAATATGATGTTGGTTTAATATGTTGGCTCTGTTCGATTTTGGTCACTTTCTGACACCACCTAAAATCAACCAAATATCACTGTCCTTTGACGTTATTGGACATCAACGTAATGTTGTCCTTAGATGCTGGCTAGACATTTAATTTTGGCCACCTGACATCACAACCTAAATCTAACCAAAAATTAGCATCTTATGACTTAGTGTACATGCTGAGCAATAACTAAATGCACTACAGAATGTTACGTTTACACACATTCACAAATTAGATGTAAATGTATCAGCTTTTTACAGTGCAATATTCTCTACACTTGAGTACTTTTAAAAGGTTTTACTCATACTTTGAGTAATATTTACAACAGATGCTTTTACTCTTGCACTACATTTTTAGGCAAGTAATGGTACTTTTACTTAAGTTAGATTTTTCAGTACTCTTTCCACCACTGTACTTGACACACCAGGCTTTGGTGTTAACTTTCCAATTCTCACTCCTCAGTGTCAACAAATTAATTTATTTTGAATTCAATTCCCAGCCCTTCTATTGTGTGCATAAAAATATGCGCATTTGTACAGTATATGGTGTTTGCAGAATTGCACTATTGATAATTAGAAAATGCCAACTGAAATAACTATTGTATTCTTTCTTCTTTTGCAGTTTGCGAATAACAACAACTACATGAACATGGCTGATGCCAACGGAGCTCTGTTAGCAGGAGGAGATGTGAGTAAATTCTTATAAATAACCTTTTGCATTTCCATTGTTAGCTCATGCCAAGAGCCATGTTACTCTGTAGCCTCTTAAAAAAGTAATTTCCATGTCTAACTATTTATTGTTTTAAAACAAAGTCAATTAATTTAGCATGCATGCCTGTGTACGTTCAAATGAAATGATTAATTTCAGCGGCAGGTGTGCAGCTGCTGGATTTACATAAAACATGATTAGCTCCCTGCATGCCTTCTTGAACTGCTTTGGGATTTTCCACAGCTCGAACCCTTAAAGCTTAGAGCTTGTTACGCCAGCGGCAACATGTTCATACACATATACTCTCAATGTTATAATCTGACTAAGCGATTCCTCTGGTGGAGCCGGTGTGTTTAAGCATCGCTGTTTACCCATCCGTATTGACCATAGGTTGAGCAGCACAGGGGGCAGCGAGCGTTGAGATGGGATTAAGTTTGCTTTAGCCACAGGTGTTCACATCCTGCTGATATCCTCCCAGGTGAAAGCTGCCATCAGGCTCAGGTGACGCTGAAGGAGTATGCACCTGTCCAGTGATCATTTGAAGATACCTTCAAACTAGAAACAGCAAAGAAAACTGGCATCTGTCACAAAAGTCGCTCTTTCCTCTCCATCATTTCATTTTAATCCCCTGTCATGAGCCTGACACTATACTGTGGCAAATCACAGGTTGTGTACTTCAGCCTGGCCTCGCTATCTGTGCGTGATTGTGTACAGGCGCTTTACAGTATGTGTTGTCACTCACTGTTACACTCACTGTTGCCACTGCCTGATTTCCATCACATTTCCAATGCAAATCTCCTTCTCACATTCTCAACGGCGCTGATAGACTCATGCTGGCTAAGCAAAGATAATGTCTGCACATGTGCATTTGTCGCACATTTGTTGTGTTTGCGTGGGTCCTGCTTCATTTTCATTTCATGTCAAGGCAGTACCGCCACCTTTGTCACAGGCAGTTGTATCAATCTCCATAAATTCTACTGATAAAATTGATACCTTGCCGAGGCCAGACTCCATGTTGGCACCTGCAGTGGAAGTAGAGCTGTTGAGCATTAACGGAAAAATTTACCGTAGTTGATGTTTTCTTTTTTTTTTTCCACTAAGAAATAACATTTCCTCCTTCACACAGCAGCTGCTATTATGACACATGACATGAAATTAAAAAGTGTTAACATTTAAATTTCTCTCTTTTTCCCCATACCTATAATGTATGTGTAGGGAGGTGTGAGGGGGATATTGTTTCTTGTAACTCAAGCTGAAGAGAAATTAAAGGGACTTTACCCTAGTGAGTGCTGTAATTTCACAGTGTGATGGGTTTTCCATGAGCTTTAGCTCTTTCATTAATCTGCTTAATGTGTCATCTTTAGGCGAGAGAGGGATACTGAGAGAGAGAGAGAGGCTAAGTATCTTCAAGCCTGACACTCTCCGCTCTGTGTATGGACCTGGATATACTCTATATAACATTAGTTTAATGTAGGGCTGCTCGATTATGGAAAAATTATATTCACGATTATTTTGGCCATAATTGTTATCACGATTATTCAAAACGATTATCAGTTTAAGTCAAAATTATTAGCCCTCCTGTGAATTTTTTTTATAAATATTTACCAAATGATGTTTAACAGAGTAAGGAATTTTTCGCAATATTTCCTAAAATATTTTTTTTCTTCTGGAGAAGTCTAATTGGTTTTATTTTGGCTAGAATAAAAGCTGGTTTAAGTATTTTGAAACACATTTTAAGGTAAAAAAATATTAGACTCTTAAGTAATATATTTTTTGATTGTGTGCAGAAAATACAACTGTTATACAATGACTTGCCTAATTACCCTAATTACGCCTTTGAATTGCACTCAAGCTAAATGCTTATATCTTTCAAAATATCTAGTAAAATATTATATACTGTAATCATTTCAAAGATAAAAGAAATTAGAAACGAGTTATTAAAACTATTATGTTTTGAAATGTTTTGAAATAAATTGTTGAACAGACATTGGGGGAAAAGGGTCACTAATAACTTCAACTGTATATATACGGTTATTATTCTCCTTGTAAATAAAAAAAGGGAAATAAATACAATAGAATGCAAATATGAAACAAGCTGTACTTTTAGCATTTTTCTTCACTGTAAAAAAAGTTATAATAGCTACAAAAGTCCTTCAATTAAGAGCAGTGAGTGATTTTCTCCTTTTGTCATTTGATTAATGATAAAAACAGCAGGCAGCAGGAATATTGCGCACTGTCACTTTAGGAGCAGTACGGTTCTGATTTATGGTTTCCCTTTCACATGTCATTTGATTCTCAACACGTTAGTTTATTACATAAATGAGGGTTAATCACTAAACACCGCGTTTTGACACAATTGTGCAAGTATTTGACCATTAAAGCACTTGCATTAAGATGACTTTTGTTATGTGCGCTCTGCTCATCCCTGAAGCTGAGCACATACACACAACAGCATGTGATGTCGTTTGTGCTTTTAAAAACATGAATGATTCGAATGTACATCAATGAATGATGTGCATCCCGCGCTGCAAAAGTTACATTACAGTACATGCTTTTAGTAAAATTAGTGTAAATTTGAGCTTTGCAGAGCAACTAATGTGTACAACTGGAAAGAGGATGGTACAGTATATGAGGGAATAATGATTTATCTTGATTAACGTTTTTTCATAATAGTTTGAACCCAAAATCAAAATCGAAACTGAATTTTTGATTAGTTGCACAGCCCTAGTTTAATGTATACTAAGGATGTGCGATTAATTAAAATCGAATCATAATCATGAAGTGAAACGTTGCAATTAGTTAATCACAAAAGGCTGCAATATGAAATATGTATTATTTTATTTCCCCCACCCAGAGCGAATGCATGACTGCCGTCTGAGTGTTACAGCCTTACTAGCCAATTGAGTAAGCACACTTCCGTTCTGCCCAATCAAAATTGCGCAACCAAACTATGTGGAATGCCCTAAATAAAAAAAACAAACAAAAAGGAAAGTGCGATTGAGTGGGATTATGGCGTCTGCCGCTTCAGAAGTATTAATAGACTAATTAGTATAAAAGAAAAACATTACGTCAGCAATATGGGAATATCTTGGTTTCAAAGTCACAGACACCAAACAAAAACAGATAATTTGTAAGAGCTGTCGCAAAATTGTTGCCACAGCACGTGGAAATACAACAACCAGCACCTAAAAAAGCCCCACAGTGGCTAAATGAGGAGCATCTTGCTAAAAAGGCAACTAAAAGTATTGCCAGTGACACTCAATCTACTAGCAAGCAACAGCAAACTACAATTTCAGAGTTAACGCCCTAACTCACTACCTCATTAAAGAAACAGTGCCTTTTGATGCAGTGAACAAAGAGGGATTTAAAAACTTCATCCAAATGCTCAATAGAAGATACACTTCCGTCTCACACATATTTTTGCCATTTTGCACTACCACTTTTTTGTTTGTATAATAAGCTACACTATCTTCCTATTTTGAGTTGAATTTGTTTGCAGAAAGGTAAGGTCGCTATTTGTGTTTACTGTTTGCTCTAGAGAAAAATTAGTGTTTAATCTCTGGATATTTAAAAAAAAAAAATATTAAATGTTGACACTAATATCTTTTTTTTAACCAACACTTTAGTAAGAAGCTACAAAACTTATATTGATTATTGAGCTGAAGCTTGACTACAAAATTAAATCACAATATCTGTTAAAAATCGTCGTACAGCCCTACTGTATACCAGGTCATTATATAAACATATTTTTAATTAGATGTATGTACACTGATATTTAGGAGTGAATATTGCTGTGGTTGCCAGACATTCCCTGTAAAAATGATAGTGGCAATAATTTAAGTACAGTATTGGCTAAAAGTAATATCCAGCCTTGGAAAATGTATATCTTACACTTTATTTCCAACATATTGATGTAACTGTTGCTGCTGATCCAGAATTGCGTATATATTGCATACCTGTTCTTGGAGAGCTTCAAATGTTTGAATGCTGTAGGATCCACATCTCAATTATTTCACTTGTAATAACACAAGAAAATATGCTTCTAGAGAAATATTTTTTTCTGAACCCTCAGGTTCCAGATATTCAAATAGTTGTTTATTAGGCAAATAGTATTTTACCCTAACACACTGTACATCAATAGAAAGCCTATTCAGCCTTCCTGTGGTGTATAAATATGTTTTTATAAATGTTTATCTACTTTAACTACTACAATTAAACAAAATTTTATTTGAAAATGTACTGATAACCATCCTAATAATAGAGGTGCTACAATAGGTCCACGTAGGATGTCTGTTCTTAGAGAAACTCCTTTAATAATGGCACAAATTAGAAAGAAACTAAACAATTTAAGTAAAATATAATCATACTGATGCTATGCCTCTGCTGCTACCAGATAACAGTTGTCTAATGATTTTACTATTGTCTTTTTGTCTGTAAAAATCTCAGCAAATTATTAAAAATTCATATTCATTGATCCAAAGTGATAAATAATATTTCAAACACGATAATATATGTAAACCACATTATCTTGAACATCATAATGCAATGTGATATGGAAAGAGTATATCACGGTGCTTGATAAGGTGACCTCTTCCTTCCTGCTGTTGAACTGAAACTGATACGGCCGTATTCAGTTCCACTTAGTAATATCACTTATCACACACAATCTCATTACACACGTGTAATCACTACTGTATATGTAGAAATGGATTTGGAATGGCTGCTGTTGGACTCTGAGAGTCTTTGCCACTGTCATCTGAGGAGCGCTTTTCTCTGATATTAGGAGTTTGCTCTATCGATCCTTCTAACCATCATGCTCAGTAATTGTGATGCACTGCCTTTTAACAACTGCTGCTTATGTCTCTGCTGAATAGGTTTACTAAATCTGCAAAGTGAAAGGGGGTTATTGCTTTGTAATCGGTGCGATTGGTTTACCCTGATTATCTGAGTTTAGCATATAAGTGTCGATGGATTGATGC